ATTTCCTCAAGTTCTGCTTTTTCCCTTATCAGAGTGAGGCAAGATCAGGTAGCAGGTCTCTTGCAGTCTCATTCTCTTTGTGAATGAAGAGCTTTTGCCATGAAGAATATCCATCACCCTTTGCCATCAGAAAATGTGTTCTAACTGTGAACAATTCTAGACTGGGCAATTCAAAATCTCATGCAGGAAAATAATGGGAAAATTGCAGATTACATAAAGACCAGAAACTTATTTTCATACTCTGGGCAGATTTCTTTCATCTTTCCTGTTAATAATCATAAAATAAGAGATGAGAGATTGGCAAACTTTATGGGCTTAATCCATAATGTACTCAGTTAAATTGACTGCTTCTCTAGTAGGCTTTTGTTTATGTCCTAAATACTATGGCAATCTTGAAATAGCTGCTGTTGCCTTTAATCATGCAGCCTACAGATCACCAGAAGCATTTTGATGAGTTTGATTTCAGAGCAATTAAAAATACCTGGCTTAGTTCAATGATGGGCTATTGCTGAAGTTTCAGTTTGATCTCTAAAACCACAGGAGGCGGAAAAGGCAAAGGAAAATGGAAGAAACTTACTTTGAATCTCACAGTTATCAGGAGACATTCCCCTCCTATTTCTTCTGCTTAGCATCCAATAAAGCCTTCCATTACTATATAAAGTCTCACCTGATCTTGTTTTCTTTCCCCCCAAATGACACATCTAAAAATGGTTCTATTGTAGAAGCAAAATTATTTTGCCCAGGCAATACACATTAACCACAGAATCAGAACCACAGAACAGATTGGGTTGGAAGGGACCTTACATATCAATTAATTAGATCATTAATTGCCTCAATACAGACAACTTACTGAGCCAATGCCATCCATTAATGTCAGCAATGAAGCAACAACTCTCTTCTCCACTTCATTCTGAGCCCCTTCTCTCTTTGGACACAGAGCATCCAACTCATCTATGAATATAATTGAGGGACGACTGAGGGGAAAAGAATCAAGGGAAAAAATGTTAAGGTACTCAGGGAGATTTAAAACACCAAGGCAGAGAAGTGCAAAGCTATTCCTGGAAAATGTACAGTTCCTACAAAAACTAACAAGTTTCCCACTTCTTTAGGAAACTGGAAGTTTCAGCCTTGAGGATGGTGTTATTCAAAGAGAAAACTAAAACAGCTAATAACTAAACAACTAATACCTTCAGTATGAATAGTCTTTTGTAATGTACTATGAACACCAAACACCTGGAAGTGTAAAGTTTGCCTTCAGCAGGTTCAATAAACTTGGGCAAAATGCCACCCTACTCCAGAGGCACACTATATCCATTACCAACACCAGCTCCTTTAGAGCTGGCTTCCATGCCTCAGCACAGCACTGTGTTGGTCTCTACAGATAAAACTAGACAGAAAAACCTGGATGCAGGTGAAACTCTGGCTCATGCTTCCACTTGTTGAACTGAGAGTACAATACACTGACGATACAAGTGGAGTGATTTGGCACCACCCACAAGAGCCCCTAAACAGGGCAGTGTCCAAAAGCATTTAACAGGCATACTAGAATTTCATTGCTTTCCTTCTAGCTAAGCTCTACATAAACAAATTTATTTCCTTTTAAAAACTACAGGGGAAAAAAATCACAATTAAAAGATTCTTGCAAATGTTTTTCTTTTAAGGACATTAAGGCTGGAACCGATACCACAATTACCCAAGAGAACATACCGCAGAGAAGCTTCAGCAAATATCTGACGTAACCTCGACTCAGACTCTCCATAAAACCTAGAATAATTCAAATATTTTAATTAAAAAACTTTTTTTTTGTTTTTTTCCAGAAGAAAATTACTGCTCATGCATTCCAAAAAGCCATAGCACACCCTTTCAAACTCCCCAAGTATATCTAAATCTACAAGATTTATTTCCACAGGGACAAGGAATTAAGGTAAAATGGGGCACAGGCAAAAGATAGAACCACCTAGTAAGTAGAAAAAAAGATTATAGGGAACCACTTCTCTTCTGCGTTAGAAACAATTTTATCTACATTTTTGAAGACCAACAAAAAATTAGATCCCTGGAGATGTTAATCTGTGCAGTGGCACCTTAATTTCCAATATGCTTTATTAAGTTACACTTCTGGTTGCAGAACTAACATGCAATTGCAGATGCAGTTTTAGTCCTCTCTTTGATTTAGTCTATGCCTTACACAATGGAGAGATGCCAGGACAGATTTGGGGTTAAAATATTTACAGAATTCATGAGAATAAAATGGGTGGACTTACTTGCTTATTACTTCAGGACCATTGATGACAGTAACATGAGCACCAACCTCATTTGCAATGGCTTTGGCAATCATAGTCTTCCCAGTACCTGGAGGGCCATATAACAGCACTCCTCGAGGAGGAGGGATTCCTTTAGACCAGCACATGGAGACAGAGAGAGAAAAGATGTCACTTGTGATAAATGCCAGACTAAACCTGCACCTGCACATTTCGCTGGCTCAGTTATTACTGATGATAACTTGACCTCAGCATTAACTTCTTTACCAGACATGTCACTGTGAGAAAACTGTAGGATTCCAGCAAACAGATCACTCTGAAATGGGACATACATCCACATCTTTTAAAGTCCAAAGGATTCTGTTTTAAAAGCAGCTATTTAAATCATTATATTTCTTCAGTAGTTTAATATAATTTCCCCTATGTGTTGTGGTGTTTAGGGTTTTTTTTCCAAAACAAATTATTGGTCTGAGTACCTAACATCCATGAAATTACTTTATTAAGTTATTTGTTATTCTCAGTGTCATTATATCAAATTTCCAACACCAGAAAACCACTTCAACATACAAAAAAATCTAGAAATGCTGAGGCTTCATTCAAGAATACTTGCAAGAAGATGAAATATAGAAATCTAAAGGATGAATTTGCCTCTTTTAATGGCACATGTTATGGGCCAAAAAGACAGAAACATTCTGGTACAGAACATAAGGAACATTAGAAGACCTGTGCCCAGTTAAAGCTGGACAGAAAACAGAGGTAACTGCATGAAGTACTACTATGACTCCTGATAAAGACCCAACAAAAAAAAGCTTCAGACCTGCAAAGCCAAATTAAATGGGCACAAAGCCAAAAACAGAAGGTGAAACATTACAAACCGAAAAGCAGAGACAATTGTGTGACAAAGGATTGACCCTGGCATAAAAGACATTGGTGAAACACAAAGAAACATCGGGTGGAGACTGCAATGCCAGGCAGGGAATGATGCCTCAAAGGCAGGTCACAAGTCTGACAGAAATGCCTGCTAATCCACAGAGGATAAAAGTAAAAGCATCTTTATGAACAGGCTCCTTCACAACAGTCCATTAAAGCATGTACTGCTCCCTCCTGTGGCGTTTCTGGCACTGGTAAGAAACGGAGCTGTGGAGCCTCAGCCAACAGCCTCACTGCACTCGAGCAGACAAGGACTGTCAACGTGTGGATGGTTTACTAAAGGTTTGTAACTGTTGAGAAACATCATCATCTATCATGCAATCGGTAGAGAATCTGCTCAAGCACTTTTAGGACTAGGTATGAAGAATGCTGATAGTGAAACAAACTTTCTGCTAACACAAAACCATGTGATGATGCTCAGGCCAGACCAAATTGAGCAGGATTACACATGGATGCAGATGCCTCACAGCATCCCACTGACACCTGCAATCATGGCCAAGCAACACGCACAGGAAGAGCCACCTGTGTCTTAGGGAAATTGTCCCAGCAGTCACTGAAATTGCCTCCTTTCTAAGGGATGTGTGTGGAAAGAGGAAACGCAGAGAAATGAAAGACCTCAAAGACATGATATTAAAGAAATATTTATGGGTAAGAGCCCTGTCTCACAGTGATGCACACCTAGGCAAGGTACATTTCCATTTGTGAGAAATACACAGTACAGAGTTTTAGGTTTGTCACCAAACCCTCTAAGTTCATATATATGTTAGATATAACGTTATATATGGTAACAGTAATCATATTCAGTTTTCCACCCTGTAATTCCATACTAAGCACACTGAGCAGTGAGTAACAGCATCAAAGACTTGCTTAAATTTTGCAAGAACCCTACAATACATGGGGAAAAAACCAGCAGAAGAATTAATCTGAGCTTTTCTCAACTTAAAATATAATTAGTTGACTACTGAAACAAATTAAAATTTTATGAGGACACAACTTTCAAATGTCCAAGCATACAAGTCTTTCCTATTTGCTACAAATTCTGCCTATGCACACCTTAATTTTTGTCCAGACACAGATTTCTTCCCTGCTCTACTATTTTTCACACAAACTAACCATAGCATCCATACAGTGTAGTTATACAGCAGTCTGATGTTGTTTGGACACACAAGCCTACCAGGTCAGTGTTACATAAAATTCACTGCATATTCTTGGGGTAACTTGTGGGTTTTGGGGTTTTTTTAAATTTTGTTTCAGAGTCACACTAAAGAAGAAAACTAGTTTGAAATGAAGAAAGCCAACTCTGGGTCATCATACCGTAACTCTTGAACAGTTCAGGTTGCTTCAGGGGCAGTTCAACTGTTTCTCTAATAGTCCTGAGCTGGCTGCTTAAACCTCCTATCATATCATAGGTGACTCGGGACTTGCAGCCATCATCTTCTGCCACACTGGTCCTGGGGTCAATGAAATTGATTTTAGTTCTTGAAGAAATGAAATAAAAAGAGTCTGTGTTGCTTATTGCTCCAGTTCTGCCAGTCAGTGGGAGTCCCTCACTGCCTTTCCCAGCCAGCTCCAAATGATCAGTGAAGTCTGCACCATCTCCCTTGTTGTAGGTATTATCTCCCTGACCACAGTCTTGAGGGCTGATTGCCACAGCAGAACTGGGTGTAACTGGTGAGACAGGATCCATTGGTTTGCTTGGTGTGCTCATAGATGGAACCTCTGGACTATCACCAATGTCCATCTTGCCGAGCTGGAAGGACAAATCTAAGGCACTTGTGTCCAAATCAGATGTCTCCAGGTCTGGCTCAAGCACATCACTGGGAATGGCACTGCCCTGGGCAGTCAGCTCTGCACCATCAGCTCCCTTCACTTTCATCACCACGATGTTGCAAAGTTTGCCATAGAAAGTGAAAGCCAAGAGGTTTCCTGGTAGGACTATTTTCCCATCTATGAGAAGATTAAAGAAGAAAAAAGATAGAGAAGATGACATTTCAATCTACTTTGGCAGCAATAACATTCACAGGTTCTTGTATCAGAATAATTATCAGCAAGCCTTGAGAGTGCTATAAATTAACATAACAATAGGTAGTGACGTAATTTCAAGGTAATTTCAGGTCTTTGAAATGCTCCTTTTGTCCACAAGCAGACTGTACTGGATAAGCACTTGTCAGCACCATATGTCATCTCTGACACTAAACTCAAATTAATGAGTCTTAAATTTCATCCAACAAAGGGAGATTAGGGAATTAGTATTGTAAGAAGCAAAAATTTTGTATTTGCTGTGTGCCTCACAATACTTCATGTTTAACCCACTTTAAATCTTGACCTAAAAAAAATAAGATTTTAGCCTTTGCACTGACAGAGAAAGATTAGGAAATGTGATCTGAATGCATCCCACAGGCACAGGAAGAAAAATGTAAGCAAGATTTATTATTTCCAGCCAAACTCATGAATTTGGAATGCAATTCATGCTTCCTACTTGTTGGTGTAGCAATACTGTGAGTAGTTCCTAAATCAGATGATTCCCTTTATGTAGAACAATCTGTAGTGAGTAGCAGGAGCTTGAATAATGTCACTTGCTTCTTTGCCTTACTTACATACGCCTACTACCCAACGAAGAGTAATTTTGCTTATTTACCACCAACACACAAAAAATGATTCAGAGACTGGGATTTCAGGTTCATACTGACCCTTTATCTTGTTTTTATCATATGGTATTGCACTCTTCTTCACAGTGCAAGCAAATTCTGAAGTGTGTGACAACACCAGTCAGAGGCACAGAATGACTTCTGAACATTCCTAACTTGAACCAGCAATACAAACAATGTACAGAAGGAAAGGAATCAGGAGATACTTAGAGCATGGCAAAATTATTTAGCTCAAAGACAGATCCCTAAAAGAAGTGAAAACAAAATAACACCCTCTATTTTGCCATAAGCCCTTGACTAAGAACATAAGAGGAGAGTGTTTGTTCCTGTATCCAAAACTTGATGACCTACTACAAAAATTGAACAAAGGAGAAGCAGCAAAATTCATACCGAGGTTCCTCAGCAGACAGACAGACATTTCCTCAGCATTAACAGTGGCATCTTTGTCCCTGTGGTAGAAAGGAAAAACATTAGTTTTCCAGGCAGTAGCTAGTTCAAAACCAAACCAGAGGCTACAGCACTAATGCACCAACAGAAGAGATGGATGAGCACTTTCAGTCTTTAAATCATAACATCTTGACTCTGAAGATACTGGACACAGAGCAAGAAAGGAAATGTACCTATTTAATCCAGGCTAGTTTTTCCACACAAAAAGCTGTAATTAACAAAGCTCTAAGTTACATTGCTCATTTCTTAGGATCACAAACATGCAATGCAGGCTTCTCATCTCACCAGGCACAACAGCCACGGCTACATTTACTGAACTGAAAACAATTCAGGTAAGGCAGGTCTCTTTCAGCCCTGCAAACACACATACACTTCGTTTATTGATTACACCACTGCACTGAGCACTTGCAAAACATTTTAAGTTTCCCCACAAAGCGTTTTCTAGTCTTTTAATTTCATTGAGGGACTCCACAGATTAAGACTCACTACATCCATTCTACAGATGAAGGCCCACAACTTTTCTAAGTAGTTAGACCTGTGTATTAGAAAGCATCACACCAAGAGGGGAACAGCAGCCTCACCAAAGGCATTCAAAGCAGACACAGCTGCTGCAAATAGAAGAGTGAACGACAGGGGGAGCCCTAAACCTGGAAATAAAAATTGCTTCCCAGTTCAGCCCAGGAAAGCAACTTGAGGGAAGGAGAAGTATTATGCTCATTTAGAGGAGACCTGTCAAACTATCATAGCTTTTCCTGATGAGCATACACACACTCAAGTTATGTTGTTGGGGTCTGAAGTTGGGGGCTGGTGTTTTAACTGGAAGAAAAAGTTAAATTATTCATGCAAGCACTACCCAGAGGCGTTAATTTGCAGAGAGTGAACTACACCTGTAAAGGGTATAGAAACCTAGGCAATAGTGGAATAATGGGACTTCAGATCAGTATTATTATTTAATAATTTATATTCTTATATGAAAAGATGGCACTATGGATATCAGGAGGAATTTCTTCATGGAAAGGTTAAAAATTGGAATAGACTGTGCAGGGAGGTGGTGGAGTCACCATCCCTGCAGGTGTTCAGGAACAACTGGACATGGCGCTTAGTGCCATGGTCTAGTTCACAAGGTGGTTATCAGTCAAAGGCTGGACTTGTTGATCTCAGAGGTCTTTTCCAACCCAAATGATTCTGTGATTCTATGGTCTGTAGTAAATTACCAGGCTTAAAACAGACCAATTACAGTTTTCATGTTTTCTCTCCTAATTTTAGAAAAACAGTCATTTACATGACTTAAAATCTAGTGGTATAACAATCCCCAGAGCCTGACTCTTGGCTGGCTCAGAGGGAAAACTCTGGCTGTGCAAGAGTTTCCTAAAAACATTACAGTAACCTAAATATTTCAGGAGTTACATGCAATTCCTCTGACCTCATCCTTAGCTTGTATTTCATGGAATCATAGAATTTTAGGGGTTGGAATGGACCATTGGATCTTTGGATCATCTAGTCCCAACCCCCTGCCCTGGGCAGGGAAACCTCCCACCAGAGCAGGCTGCTCAAGGCTTCATCCAACCTGGCCTTGAACACTGCCAGGGTTGGGAAATCCACTGCTTCCCTGGGCAACAGTGGTCTCACCAACCTCACAGGAAAAAGCTTTTTCCTAATATCTACCCTAAATTTCCACTCCTTCAGCAAAAAAGTGACAGCTTAAAAGAAAGAATGTATTACCTATTAACATGGAGAAAATAAATATGAGTTTTAATTACTTTATTTAATGTGGGCATGGTCTTCTAATGAAATATGTGTTCTCAACCACCTTTATAACAAACCAACCATGTTTGAAGTCAGAATTCTGACAAGGAAGTGAAGTTAATTTATAAAAATATAAGTGCTCTGGCACTCTCCAAAGTAACTGTAAAATATTTAGGCAATACCTACAATCAACCCAAAGGCCAGCTCTGTGGAATGTCAGGAGAATGACAAATACAGAAGTCATTCAGCAGATCAGTAAACTGCTAATTCCTCAAAACATTCATGATTTCAAGACAACTGTGTGACCTTTTGCTCCCCTTTTTTGAGTTAATTTCAATTAAAACCAAAAAAAAAAACCTCTGAGAGTTTCCAATCCTAAAAAAAAAATCCCAGCAAATAAAACTGGAGCACAAACCCACCATATATAAGGGTGAAGTTCTGAAGGGAAGTGATTCAAAAATCATTTCACTCTCTTCAATGAAGTTATAACAAGTTCCATACCTCAACTTCACATCGACTTCCTCTGCCTGGATGACTGCACCAGTCACAGGCTGCACAGTGACAGCATCACCTGGATTTACTTTCAGGTTCTTCTGTGTGGTTTCACTCAGCCCAATCTTCCCACCTGGAAAACCTGTGGTAGGCCAAGCAGTACAGACCTAGGAAGAGTTTCAAAACAAACAACTGTCAGTTGAGATTTTCTCCCTCATTTCCAATCAATGCAAGCAACATTTGAGTATGAAAATATGGGCTGTGGGGTAGAAGGATCAGGTTAAAACCTGGTGCAAGTCACCCAGAGCAAGGCAGAAGTAGCACTGAGCTCTTTTCTCAGAAAGACAGACAAAAAGTCTCTATGACACTTTTCAGAGAGAAAAGTGTCTCAAGATGCTTTTCAAGAAGGAGTAGGTTACATTTTGCCTACAAAGGAGAAATTCCACCAGGACTCTACACATTCTGCAGATGGCTCAAAAGCATACACTGTGCTGACTAGAAAATGCCACAAATCAGTAGAATCTACAAAAGAAGAGTAATGGGCTATGCACTTTAGTTCTGAGTAAAACAGATGGGTGTGCAAATATAACGGACAATATATATCTATATATTTACACAGGACATATATTGATTGAAGAAAAATCATCAGCATGGATCTCTTCCTGTAATGAGAACACTGACATAACTACAGTGTAGAAAACATGGAAAAGCACATTCACCATCTTCCCCAACACATGCTCCACATGGGTCCCAGGAACACGACAGGAACGTGCTGAAAGCACAGGAGAAAGCAGTGAGAGGGACAAGCAAGGCTCTCACCTCCTGTCGCCCCTCGGCCGAGGTGAGCAGCGCCGGGCGCCCCACACACAGCTCCGCACACTTCATGCTGCTCAGCGACAGCTGCGCCAGGGCCCTGCGCAGCATCCTGGGCACTTTGTCATCTCCTAACGTGTTTGGAGGGGGAAAACAAAAAACCACATCATTTTTACCCTACTCATTAGTAAATCCATTATTCCGCAGTCAGCACACCCAGCAACCCTCACCGAGCTCCCGAGGGGAGCACAGGGACCACTGCAAGGGGAAGCTGTGGGGCAGGGCAGAGGCAAGGCAGGCTGAAGGGGCTGAGGCAGCACAGGTGGAGGCACCAGGGATGAGGTAGCTCAGGATCAAGCACCAGGGCTGAAGCAGCCCAGGCTGAAGTAGCCCAGGCTGAGACACTGGGGCTGAGGCAACCCAGGCTGAGCCAGAGAGGCTAAGGTAGCCAAGGTGGAGGCACCAGGGTTAAAGTAGCCCAGGCTGAAGCAGCTCAGGCTGAGACACTGAAGCCGAGGTAGCCCAGGCTGAAGTAGCCCAGGGTTCAGATAGCCAAGGCTGAGCGAGAGAGGCTGAGGCAGCCCAGGTGGAGGCACCAGGGTTGAGCTAGCCCAGGATCAGGCACCAGGGTTAAAGTAGCCCAGGCTGAAGTAGCCCAGGGTTCAGATAGCCCAGGCTGAGGCACCAGGGCTGAAGTAGCCCAGGGGGAGACACTGGGACTGAGGTAGCCCAGGCTGAGGGACCAGGGCTGAGGTAGCCTAGGCTGAGCTAGCGAGGCTGAGACAGCCCAGGCAGAGGTAGCCCAGGCTGAGTGACCAGGGCTCAGGTAGCCCAGGCCGAAATATCCCAGGCTAAGGCACCAGGGCTACGGTAGCCCAGGGTGAGGCAGCCCACGCTGAAGCACCGGGGCTGAAGCAGCCCATGCTGTCAGCCCACGCTGAAGCACCGTGGCCGAGGCGGCC